GAGGAGAGTGTGATTTGTCTGTCTTGGCTGTCTTCAAACCAAGATCTTCAGATCTCAGCCTCTTAAGTAGCTAGACTTACAGATGTGAGCCACCTGCACCCAGTTTAATTATTCAACATATTTACTGAGCACCCGCAATGTTCCGGGGACAGGGAAAACAGTGGGGGAATAAAAGACATAGCCCTTGCTCCGTGTTGCTTTCAATGAAGTAGAAGAGGAAGGTAGGTGGATAGGCTATTGCAGGTACTAATGCCATGAGAGGAAGGCACCCATGCCAAATGGGGTTTGTGAGGAAAGGATGGCTGAAGGGGTGGAGGATCCACGCAGCAGGGGCAGCACTGTACTCTGGCAGAGGAGCAATTTCAAATAGCCAGTGCAAAAAAAAATGGGGGTAGACAGTGATCTATTTGACAGGGGATTCATAACAGAATAGATACCAAACTAAAAAAAACACCCTAAAAATAGAATAAATAATGCGATGCAATGAATGGACTGTGAAGGTGCTTAGTGGTGGAGTTCTTGCCTAGCATGCATGAAGCCCAGGGTTCAATTCCTCAGAACCACATAAGCAGAAAAAAGCCAGAAGTAGTACTATGGCTTTAAGTGGTAGATCATTAGCTTGAAAACAGAGAGGCTCAGGGACAGCCCCCAGGCCCTGAGTTCAAGCCCCAGGACAGGCAAAAAAATGCAGTTAATAAATGAATAAATGAAATGAACAGTAAGTTTTCCAAAGAAGAAGTACAAATGGCCAACAAATACATGAAGAAATATTCAATATTCTTAGCTATCAGGAAAATACAAATCAAAACAGCTTTGAGAGCCAGGCGCCTGTGGCTCCCACCTGTAATTCTAGCGACTCAGGAGGTTGAGATCTGAGAACTGGGTTTCAAAGCCAGACCAGGCAAGAAAGTCCATGAGACTCTTATCTCCGATTAACTACCAAAAAGTGATAAATGGAGCTGTGGCTCAAGTGGTAGAGCACTATCCTTGAACAAAATTAGCTCAAAGACAGTGTTTGGGCCATGAGTTCAAGCCCTAGGCCTATCACAAACAAAACCAAACCAAACAACAGTGAGATTTCTGCTTACCCTAGTCCGAGTGACGATCAACAAGAAAACAACCAGCCATACATGTTGGTGAGGATGTGGGGAAAAAGATATGCTTATAAACGGTTGATGGGAATGTAAATTAGTTCAGCCACTATGGAACATTATGGATGTTTAAAAAAAACACCCTAAAAATAGAACTTCCTTTGATCTTACTAGTCTACCCCAGGCATATACATGAAGATCTGTTGGTCAACACACAATAGAGATACCTTTGTATCATGTCATAGCAGCACTATTCACCATAGCAAGGCTAAGGAGTCAGCCTTGGTGCCCATTGGCAGATGAATGGATAAAGTATAGTATGGTGCTGGGAATGTGGCTTAGTGGAAGTGTGCTTGCCTAGCATGTATGAAGCCCTGGGTTCGATTCCTCAGTACCACATACACAGAAAAAGCCAGAAGTGACGCTATGGCTCAAGTGGTAGAGTGCTAGCCTTGAGCAAAAGAAGCTCAGGTATAGTGCCCAGGCCCTGAGTTTAAGCTCCAAGATAGTAAAAAAAGAAAGGGTAGTGTATATACACAATGACACATTATCCCAGTTATAAAGAAGGAAGTGATGTCATCTGCAGGAAAATGATGGAACTAGAGGTTGATGAAGAAAGATAAGGATTCAATGTTTTCTCTCATCTGTAGAATCTAGACTCCCCCCTGCCAAAATGATATGATAGTGAAAGAGAGGGTGACATTGATTGGAATATATTGTAAACATGTAACAATGAAATCCCCCTTAGTTAGTTATAACTAATGCAAGCTAATAAAAAAATGATACGAAGGTTTTTGGAAGCTAGATCTAAAATACTGGGACATAATAAATAATACAGGTCTCTAGGTATTTGCATTTGCACACAGTGAGACAAAAGGAAGATACTCTTAGAAGAATACAAAGGCTCAATGCCTATATGCATCTGATCATACAAAATAATATTTATTGAAAGGAACTCCAGGAAATGAAAACCAGAGGCCTTTTCTTTCCTTTTTTTTTGGGGGGGGGTCCGGTCGTGGGGCCTGAACTCTGAGCCTGGGCGCTGTCCCTCAGCTCTTCAGCTCAAGGCTAGCGCTCTACCACTTGAGCCACAGCACCACTTCCGGCTTTTTTCTTTTTGCTTATGTGGTGCTGAGGAATCGAACCCAGGGCCTCGAGCATGCAAGGCAAGCGCTCTACCACTGAGCCACCTTCCCAGCCCCAGAGGCCTTTTCTTTTTACTGCTTTTTTCTTTGTTTTTTGTTTTGTGTGTTTATCTGTCTTTGGGAGTGGAAGAGGGCACAGAAATTGAGGCACAAAGGGCGAACAAGTGCAGCAGTGACACTATGTTGAAAATGAACTATACAACTTGGAGGTGGGGATAAGAGGGAAAAACTGGGAGAGAGTGAAGGAAGGGGTGACATTCCCAAAAAGACATGTGCTCCTTACCTGACTCATATAACTATAACTCCTCTGTATATCATCTTACAATAACAATAAAAAAGATTAAAAATGACATGAAAGTAGAAAAGTATTTGAGAAGAAGGGAATAAGTGGAAAGAAAGAGGGACAAGAAAGGGCTAACAGTGTGTGCATGTGTATATGTATGTGTACGTGTAATAAAAATAAAAACATTGAAATGTCATGGTGATTAAACATATACAAAAAATCTGGACAGAGTGGAGTTTTCCAAGAGGTGAGGAAAGCAGGGGTTGGTAAATTTAGCCAGTAACCAGATTCCGACGAGTGTTGTAAGCCACATGAAGGAATCAAGGCTTTCTCTGAGGTTAATGGGCAAAGAGGAGCTCCAAGTCTGTTGGGAAGTGGTTAGGCATTCATTCCCTTTAGAACATCTCTGGCTACTCTGTAGCAAGTGGTTTGGAGGAAGCCAGTTAGAGGCTGTTAAAGGGCTGGCAATAGCCTGACCTCCAATGGGGATGGCCACCTAGGGCTGACAATCAACAGGAGGTGGACACAAAGGATGGCAGGGAAGGATGCTATTCTGTGACTTCAGCCACTAAGATGACATTTAGAGCGTAGCCGGCAAGGGATTGGAGGTAGGTAATCAGTCCTATTGGCCAGTGTTAACTGTCAGGGTTCTGTGGGACACTCAGGTGAAGGCCTCCTGGGGACACTCCAGCTGGAAACTGGAGAGGGAGGACCTTGGTGCCTGGGATTTGCAGTTGTTGAATGGGAGGATCACAGGGCCATGGGCACCTCTGATGCCACTCAGGGTGCTCAGAGGGAGACAGGGCAGGGGTAGAGATGGAACATAGGGCCTGGGCACTATCCCTTACTTTTTTTCCCTCAAGGCTGGTGCTCTACCACTTGAACCACAGTTCCACTTTCAGTGGTTAATTGGAGATAAGAGTCTCATAGAGGGCTAAGAATGAAGCTTAGTGGTAGAGCGCTTGCCTAGTATGCATGAAGTCCTGGGTTCGATTCCCCAGTACCACATACACAGAAAAAGCTGGAAGTGGCACTGTGGCTCAAGTGGTAGAATGCTAGATTTGAGCAAAAGAAGCTCAGGGATAGTGCTCAGGCCCTGAGTTCAAGCTCCAGGACTGGCCAGAAAAAAAAAAAGTCTCCTAGACTTTCCTGCCCAGTCTGGCTTTAAACTGTGATCCTGAGATTTCATCCTCTGAGTAGCTAAGATTAAAGGTGTAAGCCACCAGCTCCTGGTCTGGAGTCCTTAGCTTGAGGCTCCAGACCAGTGCTTTGATTTACAAACACCCTAGTGCCCACTGACTAACTCTAGTATTCCCACACATGCACTATTCAGTGCTGTAGAATAAGCCAGAGTGAGTCTCTACCTTTGGCGTGGAAGCTCCCATCTGCAGAATTTTCTCCCAAATACATCTGTGCCCGTGTTGAACCATCCCTGTCTACTCTCTATACCTTTTGATCTACCCATGATCTGCCCATGGTTTGGATAATATAAGCATGTCCACTAAGGCTGGGGATGTTAGTGGGTCAGGGAGATTTCACAAGAACAAAGAGCCCTTAGAGTGAAATGTGGTGAGTATGTGTGTAACCCAAGAAAATGCCATGGTGATCTTGACTGCAGCATCTGAGCCCGGCTTTGGAGGGACAGGGGCAGGAGACTGGGCGCTTGGCAAACTCCTAGCTGGGGCAGGAAACCTGATACTGAGATTGAAGTTCACCTAGAATCACGCATGCCAAGGAAACAGAAAGGGGAATATTGAGCATGGGGTCCATGGAAACAGGATTGACCAAAGCACAGAGGCTGAGCCTGAGTTCTCAGGGCTGAGTCTGAGTCCTTCCTGTGATTGCAGTCATCTGCGCATCTGTGTGCCCATCCTATAGAACTTCATGGAGTTAGCACTGGACATCAGGATTGGGATACTTGCTGGAGTGCAGTCTTTCTTTCTTTCTTTTTTCTTTCTTTCTTTCCTCTCTTTCTTTCTTTCTTTCCTCTCTTTCCTTCCTTCCTTCCTTTCGTTCTTTCCCAGTCCTGGGTTTGAACTCATGGTCTGGACACTGTCCCTGAGCTTCTTTGTACTCAAGGCTAGTGATCTACCACTTGAGACACAGTACCTCTTTTGAGTAGTTTATTGTAGATAAGAATCTCATGGACTTTCCTGCCCAGGCTGGCTTTGAACTGCAATCTTCAGATCTCAGCCTCCTAAGTAGCTAGGATTACAGATGTAAGCCACCAGTACCCGGCTCAGTCATTCTTGATAGTGTGTGTGTGTGTGTGTGTGTGTGTGTGTGTGTGTGTGATATGTGTGTATGTATGTGCCAGTACTGAGGCTTGAACACAGGGACCTTGTCCTCTCACTTGGCTTTTCACTCAAGGCTGGTGCTCTCCACTCCTGGCTTTTTGTTGGTTAATTGGAGATAAGAGTTGCATGGATTTTTCTTCCCTTTGCTGGCTTTGAACTGTGATCTTCAGATCTCAGCCTCCTGAGTAGCTAGGATTTACAGGTGTGAGCAACCAGCGTCTTGCTTCTTGGTTGTTTTTAGAATGTGTTGTGAGAAACCTCTTCAGCTTGCCATGAAGAAGTGACTGTTTTAAAATGATGATTTTCTGTATTTGGAGGAATTTCAACATCATCATAGTCATCTTCAGGCTCAATGTCACCAGGGAAAGAAAAGATCTTCTTGTTTTTAAATTTCTTCACTGATGTGTATTTAGCTGGCGACTGGTTTTCAGAGTCCTGTAGGGCTGAAATAGAGAAAAGGTATTCATATGCAAAGCCACTGTGTGTTGATATATTTTGACCAAGTGGTTCAGCATGAGCTTTGAATTGTTTATGGTTCCTCCCACTTCCTGAGGGGTCAGTTCCTCATTTTACAGAGGCACAGACAAGACAGGCACCTCCAAGTGAGTGAGCAGCTAATACTTAGCTAGTACTGTCCAGACATCATGATTCCTCTATCTCTGCCAAAGACAGCATCTCCTGGGAATATTAGTGTTTGAAAAGTAACACACCAGAGCAGTTACCAGATGAGTACTTCCCTGTCGTAGATAGAAGCCATATTTCCTTGTTTGATACATCCTTTTCAGAAACTTAGGCTATTTCCTAGGACTGTCCACAATTGTTCCCACTGAAATCTCTCTGCTAAGAAGGAAGGAAACAGTAGAAAGGAGGTTGCTATGGTTTGAATAGGATTTCAGGGTGACTCTCTCAAATGTTCCTATGTGGAGAGTTGGTCCCCAGTGTAGCAAAGTTAATGGGGGGGGGGGCTTTAAAGTATGGGACACAGTAGATCTTTCCTGGTCCCTCACCTTGCTCTGGTATCTGATCTACCACATGATCTCTCATTTGAGCTGTGGCCTTGATGCTATCAGCAGGATGTGGTTTAGTGAAGTGGATCTTTGTACTTTTTTGTGTCATGCCATTTGGACTCTCAGCCTCCCAAACCAGTGAAACTAATCTTTCTCCTTCTTTTCTTTTCTCTCTTTCTTTCTCTCTTCTTTCTTCCTTCCTTCCTTCCTTCCTTCCTTCCTTTCTTTCTTTCCTTCTCCCACGCTCAGGTATTTTGTTATACTAATGGGAAATGAATGAGTGTACTGATGAAATAGCTCAGGTACATCTGCACTAAGAATTAGCATTGCCTTTACAATCTCCTCTTTACCCCCAAAACAAAACAAACCTACTGCCATTTTCATTTCCTATGGAAATGAGTTCCTAGCTAGGAGCCTGTGGTGCATACCCTTAATCCTAGCTACTTAGGAGGTTGAGATCTAAGGACTGTAGTTCAAAACCAACCCAGCCCCCACCCCCCCAAAAGCATGTGAGACTCCTATCTCCACCTAATCAGCAAAAATCTGGAAGTGAAGGTGTGACTCAAGTGGTAGAGTGCCAGCCTTGAGCAAAAAAGCTAAGGGACAAGGACCAGGCCCTGAGTTTAAAGCCAGTACTATCATGAAAAGAAAGAAGAAAAAAAGAAAGGAAGGAAGGAAGGGAGAAAGAAACAAAGAAAGAAAGAGAGAGAGAGAGAGAGAGAGAGAGAGAAAGAAAGAAAGAAAGGAAGGAAGAAAGAAAGACAAAAGAAAAAAGAAAGAAGCAAGGGAGGGAAGGAGGGAGGAAGGAAGGAAGAAAGAAAACAAGGAAAGAAGGACGAACGAATAAGTTTCTGTCCAAGCTCCACCAGTTGCTAGTTTTGTGGTCATGGGTAAGTCACTTAACTTTCCTGTGCTTCACTGTCCTCAACTGTTGGAATTATAATGTATCTGCCTCCTGGAGTCATGAGGATTAAATGAGACAAGACCTTAGCAAGGGACCAACACACAGTGCAGACTTAATAAATGTTAGCTAATGCTTGGTATATATCCAATCAAAATATTTTTGCTAAGTGTCTACCACTCCAGGTGCTGTTGTGTGAACCTATGTGATGATGAAGACAAAAAAAAAGCTTCTGTTTTTCCCAGTTTGTAATCCAATGGAAGAAATAGATAATGCATAAATTTAATAATAACAAAATGACTGCCAAGAAATGGGAAAGAATTAACAATATCAAACTAAGACTGTTTTTGGTAACTTCCATGAGTTAAATAAAGGAGAAGAGCATTAGATAGGGAGAGGAGAAGGGGACCTCTTTGGGGCATTTGGTCCCTGAAGAAGGAGGCATAGACAGCAATGCTGAAAGGTTAAAGTTTGAGGTAGTGACCACTTGTTGCTTGTTTCTGTCTAGCAAAGCAACATGTGGTGGTAATCCAAACACCTGGTTGATTGTGTGCCCTTATAAGACCTGCAAATCCTTAGCTCAGGCTCTCCTCCTAGGCTCCGCTGTGTCGGAGGGTAGGAGGGTAGGACAAAGCCCGAGCTGCAGCCTGTTTAAATAAAACAGCTGTAGAGTCTGACTCTCGGTGGTCTTCTTGGTGGGGGTCCTGCGACGTTGGCATAACACATTAGTAGGGGCTCATCCGGGATACCCCACAAAGACCCCCGAGACCTCAGACTCCAAAGGTAAAACAGCACTGTCTTTGTTAATTTGTCTTGTCCTGTCCTTTGTTTTACTTTCATTTTCCCTTGTGAGGAAGGCCACTCCGATTTGTAAAGGGTTGTTGAAGCAGACATGCTTGCACGACAACCCTAGAGGAACTGGGAGATGTCCCAGATCCTCTTGTGGGGCGGGGGTAACCCTGCCATGTGGAGCGGGGGACGGGGGTCCTTGAAACCCCACTGTGTGAATTGTGGGGCGAGGGTCGGTTTGGTGTTGGGCCGGAACTGACCAAGAGGGCCTCCTAACCAAGGCCCAACTCACCCACTGTGGGTCTGCTCCTTCTGCTGTGGGGCGTGGGTGTGGAACCCCGCCATGACAGGAGTCAGCGGACCAATTCGGGAGATCTCCACTTCGTAAGCTTTTTTGTGTAACTGTCAGGCCTGCGTGTGTCTTGTTTGTACTGTTTATTGTTTTTTGGACTGAATGACTGACAGGACTGGAAACCATGGGCACCACTCCATCTAGCCCCCTAGACTTACAAAAAGAAACTGAGAAAGAGGAAAAGAAAAGGTACCCCCTGGTTTTTCAGGGAGATAACTTAGAAGAAGAAATGTTTCCTCCCCCATATTCCCCTTCCCAGGTTCCTTTTGCAGAACCTGAGAATGATCAAGAGGAGGAGGGAGCTATAGAACCCTTGGCACCTGCCCTTAAAGTTTCTGAGGGGCCAGTCACTCAATGACACCGTGGTATCAACCCCTCTTCTAATGCGGCTGTTTTTCCCTTATGCGCCCGTAGGTCCTGTGGATGCGGATGGTCAACAGCAACTCCAATATTGGCCATTTTCTACCAGTGATCTATACAATTGGCACACCCAAAATGCCCCCTTTTCTGAGAAACCCCAGGATTTAATTCGTTTGCTTGAAACTATTCTCTTTACTCATCAGCCCACTTGGGATGATTGCAGTCAGCTTTTACAGGTCCTTTTTACCACCGAAGAGAGAGACCGTATCCGAGAGGCGGCCCGGAAACATATCCCTGGCCCCACAGGAGCACCCATCACAGATCCTGCCCTGATCGCTGCCTATTTTGTAAGATCCACCCAACATGGGACTGCAATATGGTTGAAGGTAAGCAGCAACTCCTCATCTACCGCCAGGCTCTGTTGGCAGGTCTCAAGGTAGCGGCTCACCCACCTACTAATATGGCCAAAGTTTATGATGTTAGACAGGGAGGAAGTGAAAGTCTGGCAGCTTATCTTGAGCGGCTCATGGAAGCTTTTAGTCAATATACCTCGTGTGATCTTGAGACCCAAGAGTCAGCTCAGATGATTATGTTTGCCTCACCAGACATAAAGCAAAAGTTGCAGGCTCTAGAAAGATTTGGTGAAAAGTCTATTAAGGATCTAGTAGCTGCAGTGGAAAAGGTTTACAATAAGCGAGAGACAGGAGCAAAGACAGGAAAGGAAGGACAGAGAACATGAAATTGAGCGTGAAAAGAGACTGGGCCAAGGAAAAGAGGCCAGACTTGTTGGACTTGCCACTATCGCATGCTGAGCATACCTGATTCACAGACGGCAGCAGTTTCATTCAAGAGGGAAAATGGTACGTGGGTGCAGTAGTCACCACGGACACTGAGATAGTGTGGGCAGAAGCACTCCCCAAGGGAACGTCTGCACAAAGAGCAGAACTAGTGGCACTAACAAAAGCCCTACAAATGGGAAAAAGGGAAGAGACTAAACATTTACATGGACTGTCGGTATGCTTTTGCCACCGTGCATATCCATGGAGCCATTTACCAAGAGAGGGGCTACTGACAGCTGAGGGAAAGACTATTAAAAAATCTGGGCCATATGAGAACCAGCAAATTATGCACTGCCCTGGCCATCAAAAGGGAACTGATTCTATAACCAAAGGAAATAAGTTGGCCGATCAGGCAGCTAAGGAGGCGGCCCTCCAGCCCAGAGCGGAAGTACTGACACTAGTAGACCCAGGGCCACGAGCTTTGCCTCCTGAGCCTCAGTACAACCAAGAAGACTTGGAGTGGATAAAGAAAACTCCCATGGCCTATAAACCCCCGGACAGAGAAGGAAACAAAGACTGGTGGAAAACTGGTGAGGGGAAACTTTTCTTGCCACAAAGATTAGGCAAGGGGATTCTTAAGAGAATCCATCGGGTCTCTCATATGGGAACCCGAAGAATGGAGGACTTGCTCTGACACTCAGAAGTAAAAATTAGGCAAGGAAATCAACTCAATGAGGACATTGTTAAAAATTGTAAAGCCTGTCAGCTCACCAGTGCCCCCAATCAACCGGTTACAAAAGGAGCTCGCCTCTGTGGAGATAGCCCAGGTGTGTATTGGGAAGAAGACTTCACAGAAATTAAAACTGGAAAATTTGGAAATAAATATTTGCTAGTTTTTGTAGACATCTTTTCAGGATGGGTTGAAGCCTACCCAACAAAGCATGAGACCACGAACATCATGGCTAAGAAGATCCTGGAAGAAATCCTACTCAGGTATGGCTTCCCATCCACCATCGGGGCAGACAATGGACTGGCCTTCATCTCAAAAGTAAGTCAGGGAATAGCTGCGGCACTGGGGACGGATTGGAAATTGCACTGTGCTTATAGACCCCAGAGTTCAGGGCAGGTAGAAAGAATGAATCGGACTCTAAAAGAGACCTTAACTAAATTGGCCTTGGAGACTGGTGCAGACTGGGTATTGCCCCTTCCTTTTGCCTTGTTTAGAATAAGAAATTCACCCTATCAGCTTGGCTTTACTCCTTTTGAAATAATGTATGGACACCCTCCACCCATTATCCCTAGCCTTCAGACTGAATTGCTTGCTGATTTGGATGATACTAAATTTCTGTGTAAGCTTGACTATTTACAGCTGGTGCATAAGAGTATGTGGCCCAAAGTGGCGCTGTAGCTCAAGTGGTAGAGCGCTCGCCTTGAGTTGAAGAGCTGAGGGACAATGCCCAGGCCCAGAGTTCAAGCCCCATGACCGACAAAAAAAAAAAAAAAAGAGTATGTGCCCCAGCTTAGAGCATTATATGATTCTGCTTCTATTCCTACCCTCCATTTGTTTAAACCAGGAGACTGGGTGTTTGTTTGACAACACAACTTGAGATCTCTGGAACCACAGTGGAAGGGACCTTAGATGGTGCTACTGGCTACACCTACTGCCCTTAAGGTGGATGGCATTGCTGCTTGGATCCACTGCTCCCATGCCAGACCGGCTGACCCCTTTGCCCTGGATGACCGTGGGGAAACATG